TTATTTTGCTTATATTTTGCAAAAAAATTAGAAATTTGTATCTTGGAATCCTTTAAGTGTTTGTGGAATCCTTTAAATCTTTAAGTGTTTGATTTCAAATGTGCTTAAGAATTCTAATAACAGGATAGCTCGCAAATTTAACCAATTTATCATTGGTTTCTGAATGTTATTCACAGGATTGTTGTTTAGTCGCTAAGTTGTTGTCCAACTCTTTGTGACCCCATGAACCACAGCCTGCCAGGCTCCTCTTTCCACAGGATTTCCCAGGCAAGACTACTGGAGTGGGTTGCCGTTTCCTTCTCCTGGTTGATTTTTTAGAAGAGTATATGTGCAACTTTGTTATCTGGATTTATTAAGTTTTAAATCAATCAATAACAAAATAGTATATATCAAAACTCCAATTTAAAAAAACAAAAAAGCTTTCACTGCTCCTGTGTTCATGATGCTGGCTTAAATGTCATTTAAAGAAACTATTTACCATTAAAAGAAAAATCTTGCAATTCTCATTTTATTACTGGTTTTAGTGGTTTTAGTTGCTAAGTCATGTCCGACTCTTGCAACCCCATTGACTGTAGCCTGCCAGGCTCCTCTGTCCATGGGATTCTCTAGGCACAAATACTGGAGTGGGTTGCCATTGTCTTACTCAAAATCTACTACAAATGGATGGAAAATGCTATAAAACAATCCAAGACCACTCTGAAGTTACTATCTACATTTTCTGCTCTCTTTTCTCAAATGGCACAAAATCCACAATACAATTGCTTCTTGCCTATTTTATAGGTATTTATTTGCCTGTGTCTTTGAGATGGTGGCTTCTCCTGCCTGATCTTTACCTACTAGAGACAGTTTACTTATCTATAATGGAACAGTTTCATTTCTTGCCTCCTTAGCTTGGAAAAGCATCAGTTTATAAATGGAGCATATTGACACATACGTCATCAGTGCTAGGGTACACAACCACAGATATTGGATAATCAGGCACTTGCTTCACTGCTTATGGGAAGCCAGATTGATTTGCAATGTGTAGGCAAAAAAAATTATTTTTTAAAAGAGTATTTTATTCTTATGAGGCCTAAACTCTTCCCTGAGAAAAGAAATCAGTTTTGGCCTCCCCAAATCCATGAAAGAATGTGATATTCCTCAGTTTCCCAGAGGTTTGGCAGTATTAGATCCAGGATTGTTAATTTGTTTCTTAAAAAAAAAGTAGGCATCTAGACCTTGGGACAGAGCTCAAACATGGTTTTAGCTGAAATTAGTACACAATGCCCCATTACACACATTTAACCACACAAACACAAAGCCAGATGGGATGTAGAGGCTGAGCGAGATCTAAAATTTTACCATACTTAACAAGCTGACACATTAGCCTGCCATCTTTTCACAGATGCTGGCAGAAGACAAGAGTCTACTGGCTCAGAGACAAAGGACTTTACTGCTCACAGCAACAGCAATAGCCAGAGGATTAGCATTTGTACCTACTGCCCAAGGCTCCATTCCCACAGGGCATTGTGAAGGGGGCGATACACACGGTGGCTTGCATTACAGCAGAAGAACCCCAAGCTTAAGGAACTCAAATCATTTTTTCCAAATATTTTTGTGATAAAACAAACATAACATAAAATTTTACCATTTTAACTTGTCTTCAGCATACAATTCAATGGCACCACATCTTTTATAATGCATAGTAAACCTGCATGACCTTTGCACCATAGGGAGATACTATCTTTACTATACTGACCCATAAACAAACCTAGCCTTTGCTCCACACCAGAATTTTTAAATCTCAGCACTGTTGACACTTTGGACTGGATACCTCTTTGTCGTGAGAAGAGTCAAGTTGTGAGGAATTACAAGATACTGAGCAGATTCCTTGCACCCTACCCATTAGATGTTAGTAGCGCTCTCTCATTTATAATGATCAAAAATGTGCCCAGAAACAGCCAACTGTCCCCTTGGAAGCAAATCACCTTCAATTGAGAATGACTGTTTCAGAGGAAGTCACTTCTCTGTGTTTGGAGGCTGTTCACTAGGCAAATATCCTTGATAAAGCAGTCCCGAACAAAGGCAATCTGCCTTTACTCACAAAACATGCAAAAACACCAGCGATCCGTGGTGAACTGCCTCTCAGCAGAGGCCTTGTTCCTTACTTCTGAAATGAGATCTGTTTTTCAGATATGTATAAAGTACTTGGTCAATCTGTACTTGATATTTACATACACACACACACACACACACACACACACACACACACACCCTTCTTCATGGTCCTTTGACTAAAGTTACAACAAGAACCACTGAGATGATGAGAAACAAGTCCAAAGAAATGAAGCAGGTATGGCCCCAAAGGAAATATGCTGTTGTGCTGTGCTTAGCCGTGTCCAAATCTTTAAGACCTCGTAGACTGTAGCCCGCCAGGCTCCTCTGTCCATGGGGACTGTCCAGGCAAGAATACTGGAGTGGGTTGCCATGCCCTCCTCCAAAGGAACTTCACAACCCAGGGATCAAACCCAGGTCTCCCTCACTACAGGGAGATTCTTTACCATCTGAGCCACCAGGGAAGCCCCAGAATACTGGAGTGGGCAGCCTATCCCTGCTCCAGGGGATCTTCCCGACCCAGGAATCGAACCAGAGTCTCCTGAGTTGCAGCTGGATTCTTTACTAGCTGAGTTACCAGGGAGGCCCCAAAAGGAAAGAGCTGAGCCCAGGAGTATATGATGGATATTTCCTTTCTTATGCAAGAATTTTTTCCCTTCCTTGGGTTAATAATTGACCTTTTGCAGGAAGGAGGGCATTTAATACTCTTCCCCCAGATCACTTCTGTGCTTTGAAGTTAGATCTGAATAGAAATCCCAATTCTTCTACTTAACAGTACAACTGATGAGCAAGTAATTCTACCTGTAGGAGCTTACTTTTCATATATAAGGTGGGGATGATAAGACCTACCTTACAGGGTTGTCATCACAATTCTATGAGCTAAAAGTGCCCAGTACAGTGCCTGGCACTCAGTAAGTACTGAATAAATTGTAGTTATTGCTTTACGAACATCACCATTAGGGCCAGTTCCTCAGCATCCCTGGTGGTTCAGATGGTAAAGAATCTGCCTGCAATGCAGGAGAACAGAGTTCGGTCCCTATGCAGGGAAGATCCCCTGGAGAAGCAAATAGCAACTCACTCCAGTATTCTTGCCTGAAAAATCCTATGGACAGAGGAGCCTGGCAGGCTATAGTACATGGGGTTGCAAAGAGTCAGACACAATGGAATGACTTAATACTTCCACTCTTTTCTTTTCTGTTCTTACTTATAATCAGCTTTACACTAATGTCTCCACACTCTTGCTTGGTTTTTTACATTATTTATGACGTAACTGCTTAGAGCAAAGATCCATGGAGCAAAGATTACCAGGCCACAGAGAGAATGACTCTAAGACCTGACTTCATAAGCATCTCGGGGGCCAACCCCTTGAGCAAGACAATCCTAGCTCCATTACCAATAGGTTCAAAGAAATACCTAAATAGGTCAAAACCTACTCTGACCTTTTTGTTGCCTGGTCTTCTTTTCTTCAAAATGACATCAATTTGTTGAAATTACCCAGCCTTTAGCAATCTGTTTAATCAGTCTCTCTTGCATACTTGTATTTTAATAGGCTAGCATTCTTGCGTCAAATAAGAAATCAAGCTCTGCAGACTCTTTCCAAGGCTGTTCAAGTATTATCGAGATCAATTTCCCCTACATCCCCTCCTCTTTCCGGTGATCATCCAACTCACAAGTAAAGAAATACCTATCACAGATTACAAAACTTAAGTGATTAACAGAGAGATCTCCCTTCCATAATAAAGCTATGACCTTCCCTTGATATTTGGCATTTTTGACTCTGGAATATAAATTAGTCTTTGTTCCCACTGCTCTTAGGTGTTGTACATGCGTGATGATTCCTCTTCTTTGTCTTAAAATATAATATTTAATTATAGCTTCACCGAAGACTTAAAATCCCAGTTTCCCTCAGGGAAAAAAATACCTACAACTGGAGTTTATGAAAAATTGTTAGTTGGAGCTAATTCTGGGTAATAAATTGGATTTTGGAAATCTGTGTGATTTTTAACACGCTAAGCTTCTCATCAGGAAGGCGACGCTCACAGAAAATGCCTGTGGAATAATCAGGCAGTGACTTCACTGCTGCACTGTTAAGACAAATACAACTGAGAATATCATATACGGAATTTGTTGGATTGTGAAATTTGCTCTTTGAAAAGGAAATATCACATAATAGTCAGAGAACAAGTGGCAATTTCTGGTGATTTTTGTATTCCCTTGAGCCTGGGATTATGAATTCCCCCTCCTCACTTAAATTCCAATCCTCCACTTAGAATTGTAAGGAACCTGACTGAATTGCATTAAAAAGCCTAAATGACTTTTATTTCTTGTGTCATTTAGCCAGAATGAATACTACTCAGTCTCTTCTCTAAGAACATTTGTACACACACACACACACACACACACACACATACACACACTTCTATAGCACAGTGTTCCACTAGCCGAAAAAGAAAATCAATACACACTTAGCAAATATTTGAGCTGCATTTATGTAAGCAATTCCTTCACGAAAAACAAATTCTAACCATAGCCATTTCAAGGACCCTAAAGGAGAGAAGATAACAGCACTTTCAAACTGCTGTTCTAAATGAAGGACTTTTTTTTTCTAGATAAAACCCCCAAGCCAATACTCTCTTGTATCAAACCTTCTTCCTCTGTATCTCATACCTGACTCCAACCCACCTCATTCTTCAGTGCTGTTTATTAAATATACCACTTTCTGTAATACTGTCCTAATGACTCTTCTTTGTAGGAATACTAGGAAAAACTGAAGGTGTTTTATTTTTAAGGTCATTCTAGCTAGCTGAGAAGGTTTAACATATTTGCATGAGAACAGGCATCCCACAAAACTTAAAAGAAAATGGGAGTCGTTGGTTCACACGTCTTTTTAAAGGCATGGTGGCTACCTGGTCCACTGGAATCTCAACTTGAGTGTCTTCATCTTCTTGGACTTCAGCTGCCCCCCGCGTTTCTGATCTCTCCTCTCCAGCTTTGAAAATGCCTTCATCTATAATTTGAGACAAATACACAGTAAAAATCAAAATCCAATTGTGACATCATGTGGCTGAATGTTGAAATTACAGTCACATTCCTAATGATTCTTTTTTATAGGTATTCTGGTTCCCCTTGTGTTGGCAAGATTTTTGTAGCCCTTAATTCTTCTCGATTTTCACTGGGAAAATGTTCAGTAACCAAAACAAGGCTGACCCAGAGGAGCAGGGCTGTGTCCCAGCCTCCCCCTCACCTTCTGGTACTGACTAAAACAACACAATCCTGCACAGATATTTAGAAGGGCAAGATTTCCCACCTATTATCTCTTTTCTCTCCTCCTAGCCATGAAGCAATGATGATACTTGGTGCTTGAAAATACTACTTTTAGCAATTTGCCTTCCCCAAGAGAATGCTGTACACTGAAAATAATAGAACAATTCTCTCCATTCTGAGTAACATCAAAAATATTTTTACTGCAACAGAATCAGAGCTAACTCCATATCTCACACAAATCAATCTTTCATTTTGCAGGTTTCCACAGGATTTTCACAACATATGTCTTAAAATCCTTAACTATGAAACATAACCCAAATCTTTAAGATGTTAGGTTAAGCTCCTTCAATTTGTTCTCCTATGGAAAGCAGGAAGGACTGTTCTCCATATTTGAAGTCATTTCAACATCTTCCCTCTGTCTTCCCTTCTCCAGGCCAAGTAATCAAAGAATCACAGGACCATTCGTCATTTTGTCTATCTGTTTGCCTCAGGACAGGTCTAATGCTTCAGTCATTCTCACGGATGTTTTCTCTGACCAGTCATTTAAAATCTCCAGGGATGGAGATCCCACCTCCTTCTCTGATAATCTATCACAGCATGTGATTACCTTTACAGTCTAGAAAATGTTTTCATCTTTTGTCTTAAAACCCCTTCTACTTCTCAAATGGAAACTTCTCTCTCAGAGCACAAATATTTAACACATTCCACATGATAATATTTCATATTGCCCAAGTTGTGAAGTCACTCTTCATAAAGCATAAAATACAACTTTACATTCGCTGAGGCTCAATTGTATGTCAGACACAATAGGAGCCAATGTGGCCATATAAGATATAAATGAGATTTAGATTTCTTTCAAGTTGCTTACAGACTAATGAGCAGATAGAAATATATACACATCATCAGCAAAGTGCCCTGATGTAAAAGGAATAAGGTCTATAATAGAGTCCTGTGGAAGCTTAGGAGGTACAGTCAAGTGAGAAAGGAAGAAAGGAGGGAGAGAGGGAATATAACCAAACTCAAGTCCTTTTCATTTCTCCTAGAGAAGCCATTTTCCTTTTTAATTACTTCTCTACTATCCTTTTTAAAAACCAGGAATAACAGAGCTGCCCTCAAAGCTGATTTGACATGTTAGATTAATTCACATAGATTAATTTATTTTTTATTGAAGTATAGTTAATTTACAATGGTGTGTTAGTTTCAAGTATACAACAAAGTGATTCAGTTATACACACACACACATATTCTTTTCCATATTTTTCCATTGTAGGTTATTATAACATATTGAGTATAGTTCCCTGTACTATACATTAGGTCCTTGTTGTTTATCTATTTTATATATCAGTTCAGTTTAGTCACTCAGTCGTGTCTGACTCTTTGCAAGCCCATGGACTGCAGCACACCAGGTTTCCCAGTCCATCACTAACTCCCAGAGCTTGCTCAAACTCATGCCCATCAAATCAGTGATGCCATCCAACCATCTCATCCTCTGTCGTCCCCTTCTCCTCCTGCCTTCAATCTTTCCCAGCATTAGGGTCTTTTCTAAAGAATCAGTTCTTCTCATCAGTTGGCCAAAGTAAAGGAGCTTAAGTTTCAGCATCAGTCCTTCCAATAAATATTCCAGACAATTTCCTTTAGGATGAACTGGTTTGATCTCCTTGCAGTGATCGGTACTATTTTATATATAATAGTGTATATATGCTAATCTCAAATTCCTAATTTATCTCCCCCTACCCGGTTGCTATCCTCTTTGGTAAGCATAAGTTTGCTGTTTGTGTGTGTGTGTGTCTGTTTGTCTGTTTCTGTTTTGTAAATAAATTCATTTGGATCATATTTTAGATTACACACGTAAGTGATATCATGTGATATTTGTCTTTCTGTCTGACTTAATTGGTCTAATGGTTATGTCCTGACTCCACTGAACCTTATGACTGAAAATATAGATCCAAAATGTAATTGCAGCTCAGCGTATCAGAAGAAAGAATACAGAAAAACAAAACAGAAAATGTGGTGATGTTCTCATGTACTAATGTTTAGCTTGGAGTAAATGCAGAAAGTTTTGGTCACAAGTTCAACAAAGCAATTCTCGAGCTAAGAAAAGTACGGGGAAGGACACTTCAAGGGGCAAGGAAAATAGCTTATAATTATTCTGTCCGAAAAGAAGAGAAGTGAAAGGGAGTAATCCAAGTCTATAAAACCGGAGTCTACAAGGAGAGGGTAAGTGGATATTTGTCTCTCCATCAAATTCTGGAACACGAAACTCAATGAAATAATAAACATTACATTGATGGTAGAAGACAGTAATTAAATGATAGAAAAATAAATTCCCCTTTACTCACATGTGGAGTTCATAATTCTGAGAATGTGTGGAGGCAGAATAAACGAATTTCAAACAGGGCTGCACATTTTATCAAGAGTTATCTCCAAAATGGTTTAAAAAGGGAAAATTCAGGGTGTTTGACATTCCTTTCTGCATTCTGAATTACTTTAAAAAACAACAATCATAGTAATCCACACAATGTTCTTTAAAGACAGATGCTGGTCCCAGTAGACTATGACCTATGTCCATGACTTTTGGGGATGACATATTTGCATCCGAGCGTCGCACCTGCTTTCAAAGAGGCCACAAAGAGAAACCTACAGATACTAAAGAAATATACTGTTGGTGCTCATGTTCAATGAAATGTTTAACTGTATCCGAGCAGAGCTCTGGACGGCTTGCAGATGTGTTTTAGGATAAACATTTCACAGGAAAAGAAGAATGAGATCAATAATAATAAATAACACGGAAAGGGTGCTGGAATGGAGAAATGGCAACCACAAGGACAGAAACAGCAAGAAGCCAAGTCAGCAAAGCTCCGCATTGTGCGCAGTGACGGAAACACAGAAAACAAAGGCCAAAGCGTTTGGGTGCAGTGTGGCGTAGGATTTGTTCCTCACCGAATGGAGATGTGCAAGCCACCTCCTTCAGTTGCATGGCGCAAGAAAGGAACACTGGAAATAAATAGTGATGGAAAAAAGAGCAGTGAGAAAGTTATTTTATGATAAGAAAAAGGACTTGAATTTTTATTAAAATGTTGTATGAAATTTAAAATAGAGGAATACAATTTTCTAGTGGAAATTTTTTAAACAGCATTTTCTGATCATAGATTATTTAATATGTATGCATGCATTTTAGAAAACTTGGGAGATGAAGAAAATAAACATCCCATGACCCAGAGATTCCCTCCCCTTCCTCTCACATGCTCACACACACACACACACACTCATAAAAATGAGATCCTAATGTATATATAATTTCAAAATATTTTTTTACTTTAAAATCATGTCATGAGTATTTCTCATGTCAGTAAATGTTATTGGAACACATAATAAATTGATGGGTCCATACTGTAATTAATGGATGATGAACCTGGATTCTTGCATATTCCCATACTTAGAAAAGCAATAAAACCATTAACTAAGTAAGCCATCTGTTCCTTGAAAATAGCACTGACCTTCTACTAAGATGAGTGCTGGACTGAACATACCCCTTTGTCAAAATCACATATGTACTGGCTTCCCTCTTTACCACTTCAGAACAGTTCTCAGAGCTCTCAGAGACTACCTCCCAGGTTAAAATCCTCAGATTGGCTCAAATAAAATTTTCTGTTTCTTTCTTTGATTGACTACTGACTAATTTTTGCATGGAAACTACTATGTTTTTTTTTTATAAGAACATACCTATGATAAAGTTTAATTTCTATCAATAAATTAGGCACAAGAGAATATCTGAATTTCCAGCCCTATTCTTTTTTTTAATATTTTATTTTTATTTATTGATTTGGCTACACCAGATCTTAGTTGTGGCATGCAAGATCTCTAGTTGTGGCATGTGGGATCTGATTCCCAAACCAGGGATTGAACCCAGCCCCCTGCATTGGGAACACGGTTGTCTTAGCCACTGGACCACCAGGCAAGGCCCCAGCATCACTACTCTAGCACTTTGGGGCCACTATTTAAGTAAGATAAGGGTTCCTTCTAACACAAGCACTGTAATACCTCTACCGTCCATCTGGTAAGAGGACTTACCAGAGTAACCGAGAGTAACCAAGAGGGTTACTGAAGTGTTTAAAGGGTGGGATAAGCGGGACAAAGGGCTGATTCACCTCCTGGGCAGGAAGAGGTGGGAGGGCGTGAGATTTCATCGTGCTTCTCAGAAGAGCATGCAATTTAAAACTTATGACTTGTTTGTTTCTGGAGTCTTTCATTTCATATTTTCCAACCATGGTTGACTGTGGGTGACTGAAACTGCAGAAAGCAAAACCACAGATAAAGGGAAACTACTGTACTTCATTCAGGGCCAAACTGGATGTTCAAAAACATGACGAACCTTCATGATGAGTGTTCAAAGGCATGTGAATGTTCAATGTGAAAGTTCAAGAGCAGCCCTGAAAACTAGAAAATTAAAAATAACACCAAAGAATTGCCAACAAGGCCAAAATGCAATGGTAAAGAATTAGAATGGTACAGTATATTCCCCTTCTGTCAGTGCCACAGTAAAAAGGAACTAAAAAGGGGCAGATGGGTGGGGGATAAGTTGGGAGACTGGGACTGACATATACAGACATATATATATATAATAGATAATTAATAAGAACCTATGTATAGCACAGGGAACTCTTAACGATCTATATGGAAAAAGAACCTAAAAAAAAGTGAATATGTGTTTAACTGATTTACTTTGCTATATACCTGAGACTA